CTATCGGTAACATTTCTTTTTTTGCCTTCTAAGAATGTCTATGGCTTTTCTTTTTTAGCTTTTGGGTGCTGCTAGGTGAACCGTCCTTTTTCTATTCACAAGCCTGTTGCCTTCTAAGGTCAGCTATCATGGAGAAAGTTTTCTTAAACTAGGGTAAAGGCATAGAGGATGCTTCTCCACACTGGAGAGGTGGTATAGGGCCTGGACAACACTAGACAATGGAGTGAAACAAAGTTGGGTTGAAAAACTGCTGCAGACTCAGGGCCCTGGGAAAGATGTTCAGTCTTGCTAAACATGATGCTCAGCACCTGTGTCTCCTCTTTCTGGGAACTGTAGCCAGTGTAGATTTCATCTGGGGGACCACCCAGGGCAACCATTCTTATACCATAGTCTGGGTGAAATCAACTTTACCCTTGCTCTACAGGTGGTCCTTAATTAGCCAAAGCAAATGGATATACAGGTGACCATTGAACAACATGAGAGTTAGGGACTCCACTCCCTGTGTGGTTGAAAATCAGAGTATAACTTTGACTCCCCAATACTTAACTACTAATCACCCACTGTTGGCCAGAAGCCTTCTGAGAACCCGGTCAGTCACCTACTTTGCATGTCATATGTATTATATGCTGTATTCTTACCATAAAGCAAGCTAGAGAAAAGGTTTTTTCAAGTTGTTGCAAATCTCCAAAAAATATTCCAATGTAATCCACGTATAAGTGGACCCAAGTTGTTCAAGGGTCAACTGTGTTCCACCCCTTTTCTAACTAATCAGAACCATGTAATATGGTGGAGGTATTTGCTGTTGTTCATACCAAATGATATATCCTCCCTTCTGTAGCAGCTACCAGAAGAGTCTCTCACCTTGTGTGTTAGTAGGCTAGGGCTGCCATAACATAACATCATGGACAGGGGGACTTAAACAACAGAGATTTATTTTCTCACAATCCTGGAGGCTGGAGGTTCAAGGTCAAGGTATTGGCAGGTTTGATTTCTCCAAAAGCCTCTGTCCTTGGCTTGCTTTTTAAAACGTTTGGAATCACTTGTCAATTCAGAGCTGTTGAAGTCTGAGTTTACTCTTTGCCAGCAAGAGTGTTGGTAATACAGTATTTCTGAAAAGGATAGTCCATTATTTTCCCCAGGACTTCCTTCTAAACCATAAGGTTTGATGTGCATATATATACATAGGCAATGATAACCTTATCCCGCTGTTGCCTGCCCAATAGTGATCATAAATTGCCTACTGATTTCAGAGATTTCTTTTTTTTTAAATTTGGTGTCTTCACCTTATATTTGTCATGTAGACACTGGATTAAACTTCTGCCATAATTTAAAACTTCATTTTTTTCACAATACCTAATGGCACATTTTTTTTTGTGCATGATGTTCTAAGAATCTGATTTGTGTTTTTAAAATAGCATTTGTGTTTGGCTTGCTAAATTATTTTTACAGTTTTTTTTCAAAAATGAAAGAAAAGCTAAATGCAATTTTTTGTTTATTTGTATTCACCCATCTATACACACTCTATGGGAGACTAAGCTTTCTTAAAACTGGAAACTTTTTGTGAATGTTCTTTAATTTCTAGCATTTAAAGATTATCACTCAAAAGACCACATTGTTATTTGATTTGAAAAGGTCAACATTTAAGATAAGTCTCTTTATTCAAGTTATGCTTTACTTATAGTTAGAATTAGAGTTTAGCTACACATTTGAGAAATGTCAGGCAAAGTTCTGCCCAAAATGTCTCCCCCATGGATTTGACTCAAACCCTGAAATTTCAGCACTGAGACCCATTCCTTTGGGCTGAGTCATAATCCCACTTCATATCTTTCATTAGAATGTCTTGGTACATCATTAGGTCAAGAAAGTAAATTCTGTGAGTTTGCCAGATCCCACAATATATGTTTTAGGCAAATTTTGAAAATACTTTTTTAAACTTAATTATTTTTATTCTTTGTTATGCACATATCTGAATATATTTGTAGATGTAGTGAATGGCAAGTTCGAAGGTTAGAGTCTAAGGAAAATATCAGCCAGCAATAACATTATTGGGTTATATTCCTAACCTTGTATACAATGTTGTATATATAAATCATGTGTAAAATATTAACAGTATGCATTCAAGCAAGTATAAATAGAGATATGAAGGGGTGAGAAAAGGGGGCAGCTGGAATGTGATTGTAACACCAGGGTCAGACAGGGGAGTACAGGCTGGCTTAGCATCCCCAAATTTACAAGGATAGGAAGGCCTCAGGGAGAGAGAGAATTTAAGCTAAAAAGAATTGAGCAACTAAGCTTGGCTCTGGAAAAGATCCTTATTCATCATAAACTGGCCTGGTATCTTGCCCTTAGGCCTAATACTATGTAGATTCCTGTCTAGGTCCTGGGGAAAGAGAGAACAGACTAAATGCCCAGAAAAAACTTTCCCCTAAATGCTCATACCTAAGATATTGGCAAATAGGTCAGCACTGCTTCTATCCTCTCCTACTTCCCCATCAACACCAGGCAGTTTGGTACTGTGGGGGTTGGGGTGGGGGGCTGCCATGCAGTACTGAGGGTGCCCAGTGGAGGCACTGGACATGCCTGGAAAAAGAAGAAGGACCAGGCGGATGTGGAGGTGTCGGCAGAGAAGGATAGACAGAAGGAAAAGTGTTGGTTGTCACACAGTCTGTGACTAGAATGCTCTAAGAGTCCATGTGAGATGTTTTCTTGAGGCTTTTAGTAATGCCTGGGATTCTTTGTAGACAGCTGTGGACCTGAAAATGGCAGCAATGGTAGCAAAATATGGCTAAATGATGGAATTTATGTGAACTCCTTTTCAACTGGAAGCTAGAAGGATTCTTTGGAATTAAAGGTTATAGCCACATGTATTTATGGCCACTCTTACAGTCATTCATTCATTCACCCATCATTTATTTAGTACTCACCAGTGCCAGAAAATTGTTCTAGAAAAATAATACCCAGTGTTCTCGTGATGTAAAGTATTGAACGCAAATCTTTACCAGATCTTCCTGGTTGGTGAAAACAGGATATAAATATGTCTTTTCCATGTGGAGTTGGTAGATTTATCTTTCGTAAGCATTTGGAAGACCCTACTGAGTAATATCTAAGATTACAGCGTCTGGAGTCAGACTACCTAATTTGAAACAAACTCTGCCCTTTACTTGCTGTGTGACCACAGGCAAGTTACTCAATGTCTCTGAGCCTCTCTGTCCTCATTTTTAGAATGGGGCTACAAATATAACCAAACTCATGAGTTATTGGGATTGATGTAAGAAGATAAATTAGGTGACCCTTAGCACGTGTGTAGGTGTACCACCTAAACATCTTGAGCCTCCCTAATTCATTCCTGCAGGTCCATTTCCAATGTAACTTCTTTATATCTCTTTGCCTGAGGGTTTATTTGAAACTGAGGAAGTCTGCAGCTCTAAGGTGCTAGGGAGTGCACCTCTGAGGTGCCCAAGGGCCAGCTCACAAATGATGACTAAAGGGAACTGGTATATAGATACCTCAGCTCCCTTACCCCTCAAGCAGGATAATTGGGAGGTGTCAGTTTCATAATGTTTTCCAGCATTTTCCTGCAGAATCAGGCTCCTGTCTCTTAGGGTGCTAACTGGCTTGATAATGCACACTCCATTGGTTGCTTTCCTTTATGTCTCATCTCTCTACCCCCCTTTCTAGCCTTCCTTACACCTTGCAAATGAACTGCATGTCACTGAATCTTCATTTTAGAGTCTGCTTTGGATGAACCCAAAGTAAGAATAATCCATGTAAAGGTTTTAGCCCATGGTAAAAAGAAAACAAAAGCCAACAGAAAAGTAAAACAAAGCCAACAAAAAATGTTTCTTTTAGATAACTTCTTACACCTCCTTTTTCATCCTAAAAGTTATTAATTGTTGAAGTGATTTATTGTTCCATCAGACTCCTTCTTTTTAAGCTCTTAATTTCATAGTCTACCTAAGGAAAAAAATTAATTTGAGATGAAATGATAGCAACTGTGAAAGGTTGCTCCCCAAGCTGCTGTTTTTGTAACATAATTTTCTCCCCATGGATCTCTTGATATTTTGGTGAATAACCAATGAACTCCATCCTATTTATATTTCTGTATAAATTTAGCTGTTTACAGGATGTTTGCCTGATTAATGAACAGAGAAGGATGAATAAGGGAAACATGCTAATGATGATGTGATAATGACACCAAAGTACATTTGTGTTATGACATGAATATTAAAGGTCAGGCTGTTCTAGGAATTCTAAATTTGTCTTTGGGGACATTTTAGTCTTTAACTAATAGAAAGGTGAACTTCAAACAAATAACCTTAGACCTTTTGTTTTAACTAATAGTTTTGATGTGAGTTCATATGAGCAAAGCTTTTTCTCTGTCATTGATTGTGCTTTTCCAAATGAAAGTACTGCCATTTGAAAACATTTTATTGTGTTTCCTGACTGAAAGAAATATAAAAGAAATAAGCATCATGAACAAGTGTGTTTGAAATATAAGGTGTGTGACTCTTGTCTATATGTTTTATTTAACAGGTTGGTCAAGATTAAGGGCTCTGAAGTCAGGCAGCCTGGGAACAAATTCTGGTTCCACAACTAATGAAATGTTTGATCTTGGTTCAGTTGTTCAATGTCTCAGCCATTCTCTGAATCTGTAAAATGAGAATAAAATAGTGCCAGTCTCACGAGGCAGCTGTGAAAGTCAAATGAGATGATATGAGTAAAGCACATGGCGAGGCACCCGGCTCAGAGTAAGTTCTCACCCTTGGTATTGTTTTTAAAGTAACTCGTTTTCTTCTGTGGGAAAGGTTTACAAATCTTCCGAGGTTTTGTGTATATGTGCTGTGGTGTGAATATTTGTGCCATTCCCCCAAATTCAAATGTTCAAAACCTAATGCTCCAGGGGATGATATTAGGAGGTGGGGCCTTTGGAGGTCATGGGGGTGGGGCCCCTGAATGGGATCAGTGGCCTTATAAAAGAGGTCCCAGAGAGCTAGCTCATCCCTCCGATCCTGTGAAGAGAAGATACAAGGGAAGGTCTTTGACCTGGAAGACAGCCCTCCCCTGACTATGCCGGCACCCTGATACCAGACTTGCAGCTTCCAGAGCTGTGAGAAATGAATTTCTGTTGCTTATAAGTCACCCAATCTGAGGTATTTTGTTATAGTGGCCTGAATAGATTAAGACAATATGAAACAGTAGTGTCTGTATCCAAATTTAAGTCCTTATATTTTTGTGGACATGTTGATTCAAGAGCTACAACATTATATTTCCTCAAAGAAGAGTTTTTTTGTGCTTTATAAGCCACATTTAAAAATCTACATCTTCCATCTAGTGGATGTATATACATTCTCTTGTGACAGGGTCCTATGCACTCACATTCATATTTTTCAAGAAATGTAAAGAAGTAATAGCTGTAAGTCAGCTCTGTTTAAAGTCAAAGGGAAATGAATATCTCCAACAAGCATGTAGATAGAATTTTGCAGTCTACATTTATTTTTCTGCTGAAATATTTTTCTCAAGGTTTCTCCCCAAATCCATGCTCCTTAACAATTCACATGGAGGTTTTGTTCTCCCTTCCTCTTTGACTCCCTCTCTCTCTACCTGTCTCCCCTCCCTTTCCTGGTTTCCTCTCTCTCTCCCTACATTTTCCCCATTGTCTCATTCATATTAGAAAACCAAAAAGACTTCGGAGATACATTATCCAAGAAGGTATTTTGGGAAATACATATTCAATGTCTTTCATGGGTCATAGAAATTGTGCTATTTTAGAGGTGCTCCAGCTAAATAGGAGATCATTTGGTAGGGGATATTAAAGATTCACAAAGTTATTTAGACTATTAAGCAGAAGAGGGTAATTACATAAAAATTTACATCTCTCACACTGAGAAAGGGAAATCTAATTATAGAAGGTGATTTAAAAGAAAGCACACTTAATATCTTCTTTATCCTCTACAGAAAGATCAGAGATGAATTATTGCTTAGGGACTGAGTTACTTTTGAAGGGATGACAGATTAGAAGAATGAACAAATTTCTTACAGACTATCTGGAAAACCTGGAGCATTCAAATCATCAGGGTCCAGTGACCTGTTCCCTAGATTTTTCCAAGAACTTCAGGGTAACCAGCCAATATTTCTGAGAAACTGTGGAAAGGGGTTGACATCCTTCCAGAGAAGCAAACGGAAAGTGGCGCTCCTATTTTTAAGAGAAAAAAAAAGATTAATATTGAATGGTATAGTACCAACTCATCAAAGTTACTGAAAAAATATATCAAATAATAAATTAGCCACTGAAGAGGCATAGATTAGAAATAAAAAATATTTCTTTGACATTACTCAGTATATCTAAACTTAAGTAGTTATTTATGTTGTACTAATGGGACATGAAGACAAGGGTAAAGCAGAAGATGCACTTTGCTTCAATTTCCCCATAGCTCATAACCCATCACCTAGTTGAGGAATTTTGGGTCATTGGCCGTATTTGTGAGGGTAGCCATACAGCTGATTTTCATGATGCATGGCAATTTATTGGTTACATGAAATATTTTTTTCCTCCATATTTGAAATACTAAGTTCCAAAGTTTAATTACGTCAGATCTACTGAATCACAATCTCTGGGGGTGTGTCTGAGATATCTGCATTTTGTAAGCTGCCCAGGCGGTTCTTGTTCCCAGGAGTTGAGAGTTACTGTCTGAGATAGAAGGTATGCACACAGGGGACCAGAGTAGAGACTTTGTCAACCAACTGAATGTGTCCTCACTGTCCCACTTCACCCATGGCATTGCCCTTGGTTAGGTGCCTCAGAGGTCACCTAAGTCTTTTTGGGAAGTCCATGTCCTGTTTATTGTTCAAGCCTCAGCTCTATTTCCATCTCTCTTTCAAAGCTTACTGCCTTGGCCCTTATGGGGCAGCCCTTCCTGACTCTGGACATCGACAGCCTCACCTCACAAAGTGTGGTCCACGAACCAGTGACATGGAACATCAAGTGAGCACTTGTTAGAGCTGAAGACTCTTAGGCCCCACCCCAGACTCAATGAATCCGCAAATTTAATTTAATTTGTTTTTATTTCTTTTCTCTTTTTAAATTGGAATAAAGTTGATATACAATATTATATTGGTTTCAGATGTACAACATAGTGACTTGATAATTATGTACATTACTAGATACTTTCCAGGTAAGTGTAGTTCTCCTGCTACCATACCAAGATATTACAGTATTATTGCTTATATTCTATATGTAGTACTTCCATTCCTATAACTAACTTACTTTACAATTGCAGTTTGTACCTCTTTATCTCCTTCACTTATTTCACCCATCCTTCCAACCCCCCTCTCTGTGGTCATCAACAGTCTGTTGTCCATATTTACAGTCTATTTCTTATTTGTCTGTTTTGTTTTTTAGATTCCACATAAAAGTGAAATCATATGGTATTTGTCTTTCTCTTCCTGGCTTATTTCACTTAACATCCTCTAGGTCCATCCATGTTGTCCCAAATGGCAAGATTTCTTTCTTTTTTATAGCTGAGTAATATTTTGTTGAAAATAGGTGTGCATATATCTTTTTGAATTAGTGATTTTATTCTTGTCAGGTAATTCCCAGAAGTGGAATTACTGGGTTGCATGGTATTTCTATTTTCAGTTTGTTGAGGAACCTCCGTATTGTTTTCCATGGAGGCTGGACCAATTTACATTCCCACTAGGAATGTAGAATGTTTGCATTTATGTTCATCAGGGATATTGGTCTGTAGTTTTCTTTTTTTATAGTGTCTTTCTCTGGCTTTGGTATTATAGTGATACTGGCCTCATAGAATGAGTTTGGAAATATTCCCTTCTCTTCTATTTGGAATACTTTAAGAAGGATAGGTATTAGCTCATCTTGAATTGTTTGGTGAAACTCACCTGCAAAGCCATCTTGTCCTGGGATTTTGTTTGTTGGGAGTTTTTTGATTACCAGTTCAATTTGTTTATTAGTAATTGGCCTGTTCAGAGTTTCTGTTTCTTCCTGGGTCAGTGTGGGAAGATTGCATGTTTCTAGGAATTTGTTCATTTCTTCTAGGTTGTCCAATTTATTGACATAATTTTTCATAGTATTCTCTTATAATTCTTTGAATTTCTGTGGTGTCAGTGGTAACTTCTCCTTTCTCATTTCTGATTTTGTTTATTTTTGTCCTCTCTTGTTTTTTTCTTGTTTAGTCTGGCTAAGGGTTTGTCTATTTTTTATCCTTTCAAAGAACCAGCTCTTGAATTCACTGATTTTTTTCTATTGTCTTCTTAGTCTTTATTTTATGTATTTCTGCTCTGCTCTTTACTATGTCCCTCTTTCTACTAATTTTGGACTTTGCTCTTCTATTTCTAGTTCTGTCAGTTTTAGGGTTAGATTGTTTTATTTTAGATTATTCTTGTTTCCTGAGGTAGGCTTGTATTGCTATAAACTTCTCTCTTAGAATTACATCCTGCTTATCCCACATATTTTGAACCATTCTGTTTCTGTTTTCATTTGTCTCCATGTATTGTTGGAGTTCCTCTTTGATCTGTTCCTTGATCTATTGATTATTAGAAGCCTGTTTTTTAATGTCCACATGTTTGTGGTTTTTTTTCCCATTTTTTTCTTGAAACCGATTTCTAGTTTCATACCATTGTGGTCTGAGAAGATGCTTGATATAATTTCAATTTTGAATTTGTTGAGACTTGTTGTGTATCCTCTTATGTGATTTATTTTGGAGAACATTCCATGTGCTCTTGAAAAATATGTGTATTCTATTGCTTTGGGATAGAATGTTCTGTATATATCTATTAAGTCTATCTGGTCTAATGTGTCATTCAGTACCTCGGTTTCCTTGTTTATTTTCTGTCTGATGATAATCTGTCCATTGATGTAAGTGGGATGTTAAAGTCCCCTACTATTATTATTTGCTGTCAGTCTCTCCTTTTAGGTCTGCTAGTATTTGGTTTATATATTTAGGTGCTCCTATGTTGGGTGCATAGATGTTTACAATTGTTATATCATCTTATTGGACTGGTCCCTTTTTCATTATGTAGTGTCCTTTTTTGTCTCTTGTTATTTTCTTTGTTTTGAAGTCTATTTTGTCTGACAGAAAAGTATTGCAACTCTAGCTTTCTTTTCATCCTATTTGTATGATAAATGTTTCTCCATCCCTTCAGGTTCAGTCTGTGTGTGTCTTTAGGTCTGAAATGAGTCTTTTGTAAGCAGCAAATAGATGGGTGTGTTTATTTTTATCCATGTCTTTTGACTGGAGCATTTAGGCCATTTACATTTTAAGTAATTATCAATATTTTTGTTCTTATTGCTATTTTTTTAATGTTTCCTGGTTGTTTTTTGTCCTTCTCTGATCCTTTCTTTCTCTTGCTCTCTTGTGTTTTATGATTTTCTTTAGTGCTAAGGTTGAGTTCCCTTCTCTTTCTTTTTTTGTATCTATTAAAAGTTTTTGGTGTTTGGCCATCATTGGGATATTATATGACATCTTATGAATATAAAAATCTCTAATAACCTGATGGTCATTTAAGTTCAAATTCATTCTAACAGGACTACATTTCTTTCTCCCCACCTTCATGTTTCATATATATGTATGAACCGTGTTTCATGTATCTTTTACACCTTTTTATTAAGTGAGTCCCTTAACTAATTTTTAGATGTAGTTGCTTTTGCTACTTTTGTCTTTTTTGATTTTCATACTAGCTTCTAAGTAATTGATCTACTACCTCTGCTATATATTTGCTTTATTAGTGGAAATTTTTCCCTTTCTTAAATTTCTTGCCTCTATGTAGGGTCTTTTCTTTTCCTCTTAAAGAAGACACTTTAACATTTCTTACAAGTCTGGTTTAGTAGTGGTGAACTCTTTTAACTTATGTTTATCTGTGAAGCACTTTTTTTCTCCTTCAATTCTGAATGATAACCTTGCTGGCTGGCATATTCTTGGTTGGAGGTATTTTCCATTCAGCACTTTGAATATATCCTGCCATTCCCTTCTGGCCTGTAGAGTTTCTGCAGAAAATCACTTGATAACCTTATGAGGTTTCCCTTATATGTAATTCATTGCTTTTTTCTTGCTACTTTTTAAATTCTCTGTCTTTGATCTTTGACATTTTAATGACAGTGTGTCTTGTTGTGGACCACCTTGGGTTCATCTTGTTTGGAGCTCTCTGTGCTTCCTGGACCTGGTAGACTGTTTCCTTCCCCAGGTTAGGGAAGTTTTTAGCTATTATCTCTTCAAATATATTTTCTAGTCCTTTCTCTCTCTTCTCTCTTTCTGGAACTCCTATAATGCAGACACTAAGGTGTGTGATGTTGCCCAGAGCTATCTTACCCTCTTCTCATTTCTTTTAATTTTCTTCCTTCTGCTGTTCAGCTTCAGTTCTTTCCATTACTCTGTCTTCTAAGTTACCGGTCCAGTCTCCTGCATCCTCTAGTCTGTTGTTCAGCCCCTCCAGTGTATTCATTTTCTTTTTTACACTTTCTGTCTTTGTTGAGGTCCATCTTGAGTTCTGCCATTGTTTTTTCACATACAGGGAATATCTTTGTAACCATCGCTTTAAACTCTTTACCAGGTAGATGGGTTCATTCTGTTTCATGTAGTTGTTTTTCTGTGTTTCTTGTTCTGACATTCGGAGCATATTATTCTTCTGTCTCCTCATTTTGTATGACTTCTGTGTTTGGTTCTGAGTTAGTTGAAAGAGCTTGCTTTCCCAGTCTTGCAGGCTTGGCCTTGGGTGGGAGAGTCCCCTGTGTAAACTGTGGGTGCCTCATGATTTTGGTAAGCTGGAGGCCTAGTAAGTGTGAGATGGGCTTTTTCTGGTGCTGGGGCTCCCAGGACATGGTTCCAGGGTGCAGCCTTGGGCGCTGCTGGAGGGGATCCTCAGTGGGCACCTGTGGGTTCTGCGCTGGCAGAGGAAGGGTGGAGGGCCAGGGGTAGGTTGGGGGGCACTCAGGTAACTCCTGAATTGGTGCCAGCTGAGTCCTGTGTGCATCTGTGCCCATTGCCTGTATGGGCTCTGGTCTGCTTGTGACGCTCTAGAGAGTACCCACCTCAGGTACCCTTTGATCTACCTGGTGGAGTCGGGCTCTATGCATGTTCATCCAGCCTGTTGTGCTCTGCGCTGCTCCTGGGTCAGTGCCCACGGCCCTGCCAGTGGCTGGGATCAGACACCATGTGTGCGTGTGTTCCCCCAAGGCCTGGCATGCTCTGGGCTCCAGTGGGGAGTTCCTGGTTTAGCACCCACCGGGTCCCACTGATGGCTGGGTTGAACACTGCACACACACGTTTCCCTGTGGTGCTGTGGAGAGGCCTTGGAGGCACCATTCTGCGGGTTCATGTCCCCTCCCTGGCAGCTGGGAAATTTTCTGGTCCTGCTGAGGGGGTCTGGGCTGGTGGATAACAACAGGCAGAAAGGCAGGACTGCTGGACCTCCTGCAGGGCTCCTGTGTATGGGAGGAGGTTGGGGGGCTGCCTAGACCAAGGCTGAGATCGGTGTGTGTGCCAGATCCTGCTCTCAGCTGCCGTGAGATGAGGGGACGACACGATGGCTCCGGCCAGCTCCTCCGATCCCAGACTGCCTCCTTTGACTTCCTGACCAAGCAGTGGATATTTAATTCTGAAACTTTGGTTCTTTTACTTATGGTCTGGTTGCACGTTAAACCACAAGGTTTTTTCTTGCACCACAGGGCAGGGAGTACCCACCTGGCAATCTCAGGGATAATCCCCTCCACCCACACTGGTTGCTCTACTGGGGTGGGGTTAATGTGTCTCTGTCTCTCCTGCCCTTTTTTTGCACATTTGTGTGTGACCTTTCTGTCCCTTGTTGTATAGAAGGTGTTCGCTTCATTCCCCATTATTCTTTAGGGTGAAATGCTCTGTGTGTAGGTGGAAGGAGGTGGATTTGGGCTCTATTTTGCCATCTTCTAGCAACTGCATTTTAACAAGACCCCTGGAGGATCAGTGTACAAATTCAGGTCTGAGAAGTGCCGTTCCACAGTACTTACATTGCCTGACACTTTCCTATGGGTTCTCTCATACAGTTCACAAACTGCTTTGTCTAGGGTGTCATCTCATCAAGTAGATTATATGTTCCTGCATGGAAAGGACCTCCTCTT